TCCCTCATTAATTTTTCTGTCCGCCTTAACAATTCAAAACGTGTATACTTCCTCTCCAGCAAGCGTGCCAGATATGGGGTCAAAAATAATAAGACCTGTGAGAGGGCAACAGGCTATAATGTAGTTTTCATGTTTACAAGGGTAAAAAATAGTCACGTGCAGCCCCCGGGATGCCCAGACTACATGGGGAGCAGTGGCAAGATAGCTTTGGACTTGGTGTCACCCTTTTCCCATATGGGGAACCACTTATACGTGGAAAATGTGTATACAAGCGTGCCACTATTTAGACATTTTGTACAATCTTGAAATTGGTGCATGTGGCACAGTGCAAACCTAATCTCTGGGGCTTTCCCCCAATGGCTTGTATCCCCCATCTTAGAAAGGGGGAGAAGGCCAGCTTGAAAAACGATAAATTGCTCGCAGTGAAGTGGGAAGGACAAAACGGGATTTTTCATCCTGTCTTCCATTCACGCAGACATGACCATCCGAATTGCCATGGCAGCTGGAGTTTTTGAGAAGCCCCTCTGTGTCCACGACTATAACCTTTAACATGGGACGGGTGGACTTCAACAACCAGATGATGAAGCCGTACTTAGTTTCTCGTTAAAGCCAGACGCTGGTACAACAAAAGTGTCTGTATATTTATTTTAATTGGCTCTGTACAACGCTTTTGTGCTTTACAAAGCAACTGGAAGAAGTGGATCCTTCCTAAAAATCCAGGAAGAGATTATCACGGCCCTTTTGTATCCAGAAGGTGCTATGGCCCAAACCCCTAACCCAGATGCAGTGAACCGGCTGCATGAGAGGCATCTTCCTGATGCCATTCCTGGTACCACAACCCAAAAGTCACCCCAAAAAAATATGTTGTGTCTGTAGCAGGATGGAATTAGGCTTGACACTCATGTTAGGTAGTTAGAAAACTGGCTATTGCATTTTGAGAGAGCCGAATATCTGCTTGTTACAGTTTAAAAAATAAATGAAAACATTTAAAAAAGCAAAAATTGTTTTTGAGCATTAAAATGTAAAAAAAGTGTTCAGGCTTTCAAAGTGGTCATTGGATTTCAGGCTCCTGTATGTGGATAGGCTGCCAAAAAGTCTCACACATGTGCTACCCCCATACTTGGTAGAAGTAGCAGAATATATTTTGGGGTTTAATTCCACATATACCCATGGTATGTGTGAGCAATAAATCATTTAAGTGACAAATTTGTGTGGAAAAAAAAAATTGCCCTTTTCCAAAAACATGTGGAAAAAAAAAAAAGAATTTTCCATGGACTCAACACACCTCTCAGCAGATAGCTTAGGGTCTCTATTATCTGAAAAGGGGTCATTTGGGGTGTTTGTACTGCTCTGTGGCATTTTAGTAGCTCAAGAAATGTGATAGCAATCAGAATGTAAAAGCTGTGTAAATTTCCAATATATACAATAGTAGTTTGTAGACACTATAACTTTCACACAAACCAATCAGTATAACACTTATTGGGATCTTTTTTTTACCAAAAGACATGTAGCAGAATACATTTTTAGCCTAAATTTGTTACTAAAATTTGAGTTTACTATATATGTTTTATAACCGAAAAAGCAAAAAAAGTTTTTTTTTTTAAATGTAGTCTTTTTTTGTTTATAGCACAAAACATAAAAAAAAACCGCAGAGTTGATCAAATAGCACCGAAAGCTCTATTTGTGTGAACAAAAGAACAAAATTATTATACAGGAATTATATAGCACCAACAGGAGGGCAAATGGTTAATAAGATTGGTGGTGTCTGAGCCTGAGGTGCTGGAGAGCCTCTACTAGAGTCATGTCCCAGACCTGGAGAGCCTCTACTACAGGAATACAGCGGCTGCAATGTCATCATCCTGCCACCTGCTGTTCCCATGTTATCTAATGCGGCTTCTACAGATCACAGGGCTGGCTGTGCACACAGGAGATCGATCCCAGGAAAGATCTGTCCCATCACCCAATCATTGCACACCACAGCTCCAACCAACCGGGAACATCCGTCCCGGCCTACTCACTCCTCTCTCTACAACCGCGCTCACCGATTGGCAGTCTGGGTTGAAGCTTGCTGACAGCCCAGTCCAGAACTGACAGGGGGGCGGTCCCAGTAACTACACTAACGATCTGCAGGGGGCGGTCCCAATAAATTACCCAGCGATATGCTGGGGGGGGGGGGGTGTCCCAGTAACTAGCCCACCCAGACCCCGCCCGATCATATATACAATCATTTAAAATGATAAATATCCTCCCTCATTCGCCCACATGTCGCTGGTTCCACCTACTATTTCATCAGGCTCCACCTACTTCATCAGGCTCAACAGTCCATTGGTTGGCCAGTCCGCCTCTCCGCAGCGCTCAGACGATGTTGACTCCAGCAGCTCCTCCTTCAGACTGAGCAGCATAGCGGGTTGCCTAAGCAACGTGCGTTGCCCCTCCCACTTCCGGCCCGCAGTTCCCTCTGTTCAATAGAGTCTGGCGCAGAATGGAGCTCCATTTTTGATACATGTGACCTCCATCTCCTCTCTCTACAACCGCGCTCACCGATTGGCAGTCTGGGTCCAAGCTTACACACAGCCCAGTCCAGAACTGACAGGGGGGCGGTCCCAGTAACTACCCTACCGATCTGCAGGGGGCGGTCCCAGTAACTATACTACACCGATCTGCTGGGGGCGGTCCCAGTAACTAACCCACCCAGACCCCGCCGATCATATATACAAAATCATTTAAAATGATAAATCTCCTCCCTCATTCGCCCACATGTCGCTGGCTCCACCTACTTCATCAGGCTCCACAGTCCATTGGTTGCCAGTCCGCCTCTCCGCAGCGCTCAGATGATGTTGACTCCAGCAGCTCCTCCTTCAGACTGAGCAGCATAGCGGGTTGCTAAGCAACGTGCGTTGCCCTCCCACTTCCGGCCCGCAGACTCCTCCCACTTCCGGCCCGCAGTTTCCTCTCTGTTCAATGGAGTCTGGCGCAGAATGGAGCTCCTCCATTTTTTGATACATGTGACCTCCACTCCCTTATATTTATTTATTTTTTTTTTCTTCTTCTAGTGAACTTTAACCACTCCTCCTACCGACTGAATAATGGCCAGCGTCATTCAACTCACTTTCTGCTAGACCAGGGTGTGAAGACTCCATCCTCAACCTGGACTCACAAGAAAATGCTGAATGGTGCAGCATCAATAGATGAACCTGATCTGCAGCATTTCACATACACCTACTACCGGAGGAAGAAGAAGAGGATGAAAAGGATCAGTGATGTCAATGGGCCAGATAGAAAACACCTGAAAAAAAGGGTAGGGATAGATTTTTTTTTTTGAGGATATAAAATTACAAAGGGGTGGAGGGCAAATGAGGAGGGTTGGAAATCTCAGGCTTGGAGTTGGGCTTCAACCACTTGCCTGCCGGGCACTTTCACCCCCTTCCTGCCCAGGCCAGCTTTCAGCGCTGTCACACTTTGAATGACAATTGCGCGGTCATGCAACACTGTTCCCATATGAATTTTTTCACATTTTATTTGAGACAGATGAAACTTTATTTTGGTGGTATTTATTCACCACAGGGATTTTTATTTTTGCTATATAAATTAAAAAGTCCAAACATTTTGAAAAAAAAGTGTTTTTCTTATAAAAATTTTGCAAATCTTTCTTCATAAATCTTGGCCAAAAAAAAAACAAATTAGTTTATAACCAAAAATTATAATTAAAACAAAAATTTAAATTTTTTATTTTTTTATATTATTACTGTCACTCTAGCAGTACAGTGTTACCATAGTGACATTGTACTACTTGACGCATTGAATCTCTCCAAAACCGAGCTCCTTGTCTTCCCCCCAGCCCGAACCCCACCCCCAATTGACTTCTACATCACATCCAACAACGCCAATATCAAACCCGCTCTGCAGGCCAGAGTACTTGGTGTCATTCTGGACTCCAACCTATCCTTCCAGCCCCAAGTCCAATCTTTAACAAACTCGTGCAGACTCCACCTCCGCAACATCGCCAAAATCCGCACGTTCCTAACCCCAGAAACCACTAAACAGCTCATCCACTCCCTCATCATATCACGACTCGACTACTGCAACTCCCTCCTCACTGGCCTGCCTCGCCGCTGGCTATCCCCGCTTCAGTTGATCCTGAATATGGCTGCCAGACTCATTCACCTTTCCAAACGCTCCGTTTCTGCCACCCCCCTCTGCCAATCCCTCCACTGGCTTCCGATTGCGCAACGGATCAAATTTAAAATCCTAACACTGACGTACAAAGCTGTCCACCATACTGCCCCGAACTACATCACTGACCTAATATCCAAGTACCGCCCAGCACGCACACTCCGCTCCTCACAAGACCTCCTTCTCTCTAGTTCCCTGGTCTCCTCCTCCCATGCCCGCCTCCAGGACTTCTCCAGGGTGTCACCCATCCTCTGGAACTCCCTGCCCCAACCCATCAGATTATCACCTACTCTCCTCTCCTTTAGGCGCACCCTGAAAACCCATCTCTTCAGGGAAGCCTACCTCACCCCCTGCTAACTTGCTGACCTCCTCCACTCTTCCTACCACTCCATCCCCCACAGCTATCTCCTCCTGTACCACTATCCCATCCCTTCTAGATTGTAAGCTCGAAAGAGCAGGGCCCTCGATCCCCTCATGTTTTGCATTGTATTGGTATTGTTCTGTCACATGTTCTGTCCCCCTTTGTAATGTACAGCGCTGAGATGATTTTTTTTTTTTTTTACACTGATTGCTTTTACACCCATAAAGGCTGTAAAAGCAATCATATCTCCTTCTCTCTGGCTGCATTCTTGCGGCCATTGAGAACTACTGTGTGAGCTGTGATTGGTCACAGCTTGTCACATGGTACAAGGCTGTTGTGAATAGCCTTGTGCCATGTGACCTCTGTGATCATTCACAGATTTCACTAGTAGTAAGCAATAATGTCAGGAAGTGACATCTTGCTTACTACTATTCATGTGATCACTGATTGGCCAATCAGTGATCACATGATCGGGACACAGCGGGCACCGGATTGCGGTGCTGCACGCTCCCAGGGAATTCATCCCAAATGTGTTCTGTAGGATTGAAGTCAAGGCTCTGTGCAGGCCTCTTGAGTTCTTCCACACCAGTGATCATCTTAGGCGTGTTCGAACTAGGATCTGAACCAATGTGTGCGAGCCCACCAGTGAGCTGTCACCTCTACAGACCAGTCATCTAGTGATGGGGCATTCTCTGCCCCACAGACACACGTAGACATGCCCCTTGTACATGTGTGGCTGCAGCAGGGGCATATTTGCCGCGAGGCAAACAAGGCATTTGCCTAGGGCGGCACTTTTTAGGGGGGCGGCACGCTGGCGCCGCCGCCCCCCCCCCCTTTCCCACAGAAGGGACACTTAGTACAGGGGTGGGCTGCTGTGTCTTACCTGGGTCCCGCGACTCCGTGTCCTAGTCCCACGTCGATCCTGTCCACAAAGAACTGCTGGAGGAGGGGTAAAGAAGTTGTCCGGTCAGCGGGTGCAGTGTCTTCATTTCCCTTGATCACGATGTATGGTGGGATGACATGGCGCCCCTGTCGTCTGGCCACACCTCCGGGATCACTCAACAGCCTATAGCAGCTTGTCCCTCCCTCTGCAAGCTCCACCTCCTCACCAGTGATTGGCCGCTGGAACTGTAGCTCAGGAAAGGCACACAGGCGGCCAATCACCGGCAAGGAGGCAGAGCTTGAAGAGGAGGAGCCGAGTGGCAGCACGAAGATCAAAGAAGATCTAGTGAGGGAGCAGCCGAAGCGAGTGAAGAGGAAAGCGGTCGGAGAAGGAAGACAGCTGACCGGTTATTGTCTGTCCCATGCAGATGGTGCTGCTGCAGCCAGGTATGCTGGCTGTGGATAGGAGAGGGAGGGAGCGAGCCCAGGCTAGAGCAGGGGTCAGCAAGGTAAGTATCATTGGTGTCAGCAGGAGGAATAGTGCCCCATCATTGGTGTCACTGACACCAATAATGGGGCACTATTCCTCCCCCCCACTGACACCAACGATGGGGCACTATTCCTCCCCCCCCCCCCCCCACTGACACCAACAATGGAGCACTATTCCTCCCCCCCACTGACACCAACGATGGAGCACTATTCCATTCCCCCCCCCCCACTGACACCAACGATGGAGCACTATTCCCCCCCCCCCACTGACACCAACGATGGAGCACTATTCCCCCCCCCCCACTGACACCAACGATGGAGCACTATTCCTCCCCCCACTGACACCAACGATGGGGCACTACCCCCCCCCCCCCCCCACTGACACCAACGATGGGGCACTATTGCTCCCCTCCAGGGGTGTATTTACCACAAGGCAAACAAGGCATTTGCCTAGGGCGGCATTTTTCAGGGGGGCAGCGGAATTTTTCAGGGGGGTAGGGATGGAAGAACGGACACATGTAGCATGGGGTCCAGGTGGGATCTGAGAGAGGCTGCGGGCTGCTTGATGGTGTATGTAGAGCCTGACTCTTGTTCCCAGGGATGTCCAGAGCTGTGAAGGTGAGTGTCTTCTCTCATACAGGGCCGGGGGGGGGGGGGGGGGGGGGGGGGTGTTTTTGCCAGTGTATGGGGGGGGTGGGGGTAGTGGAAGGCTGTCTCGGGTGGGGGGCTGGGGTGTTGTCGGTCAATGTCAGGTTCTCTTGGGGAGAGGGGTGCTGCTCGGTGTCAGGGTCTTTCCTTGGGGGGGGGGATTTTTGTGTTGCCTAGGGCACCATGAAACCTAAATACACCACTGCTATCCTCCACTGACACCAACGATGGAACACTATTCCCCCCCCACACAAACTGACATCAATGATGGGCTCACTATTCCCCCCACACCAACTGATACCAATGATGGGGCACTATTCCTCCCACTGATACCAATGACGGGGCACTATTCCTCCCACTGATACCAATGACGAGGCACTATTCCTCCCACTGATACCAACAATGTGGCACTATTCCTCCCACTGACACCAACGACGTGGCACTGTTCCTCCCACTGACACCAACGACATGGCACTGTTCCTCCCACTGACACCAATGATGTGGCACTGTTCCTCCCACTGACACCAACGATGTGGCACTGTTCCTCCCACTGACACCAACGATGTGGCACTGTTCCTCCCACTGACACCAACGATGTGGCACTGTTCCTCCCACTGACACCAACGATGTTGTGGCACTGTTCCTCCCACTGACACCAACGATGTGGCACTGTTCCTCCCACTGACACCAACGATGTGGCACTGTTCCTCCCACTGACACCAACGATGTGGCACTGTTCCTCCCACTGACACCAACGATGTGGCACTGTTCCTCCCACTGACACCAACGATGTGGTACTGTTCCTCCCACTGACACTAATGATGGGGCACTATTCCTCCCACTGACACCAATGATGGGGCACCGTTGTTTGTGTCAGTGGGAGAAATAGTGCCCCATCACTGGTGTCAGTGTGGGAGGAATAGTGCCCCATCACTGGTGTCAGTGGGAGGAATAGTGCCCCATCACTGGTGTCAGTGGGAGGAATAGTGCCTCATCATTGGTGTCAGTGGGAGGAATAGTGCCCCATCACTGGTGTCAGTGTGGAAGTAATAGTACCCCATCATTGTCAGTGGGAGGAGCTCTAATATGAAGAGGTGGAGCCTAAATAGGAAGGATGGGGGGTTTAAAGATGAAGGGGTGGATCTTAAACAGGAAGGGGTGGGACAAATTTAGATGCGGGGGTTGCCCGATTTTAGTCTTGCCTAGGGCAGCACAAAACCAAAATACATCACTGGGCTGCAGGGCAGGCAATGACCCATCTGCAGATGATTGTCACAGTACAGAGTGCAGCTTTCTGGAGGGCTCACACACATAGATTTGGATCCTAGTCCAAACATGCCCAAGCTCATCACTGCTCCACATCAGACTCCTCAAACCATGTCTTTATGGAGTTGGCTTTGTGGGTCACAGTCATGCTGGAGCAGATAATGGCCTTTCCCAAACTGCTTTCAAGTTGTAGCCGTACATCTCTTTGGAAACATTTGGTCTCAATAATTTGCAGAGATGTCCATATGCATTCGGCCATATGGTGTACATGTGATGATCAGGTGTCCACACACTTTTGGCCATGTAGCTTACTAAAAGGGGATCCCAACAATGAAGACTTTGTTTTGGATGGAACAGAGGTACAGTGGTAAGAGTGATAATGTGATCAATGTTTGTCCCTTTTCCACCTGCTGTGTTTCAAGCAATCTAGAAACCATTCAGAACAAAGCAATAGCTTTGAGTTAACTCCTCCATCCTTTACTCTTCCACTGATCCATTCATTACTGGAAGCCAAAGCAAGTACCTGTTTCTTCCAGGTATGGAAGAGTGCATGAATCAGTGGGGAGTTCATAGCCGTGCATAAGCTGTGGTGACTACAACAATTCTTAGCATACCCAAGGCTTTCCTTTTACTCTCAGAGGCTGAATTAAGCAGCAGTTATAATGAAAGGAAGGGTAATGACCAGGGGCGGACTGACAACTCATGGGGCCCCCGGACAATAAGGGATTATGGGGGCCCCTGTGTCCTCCCCCACACCTGAAAAAAACCAATAAAATGTACCAGGGGCATCTCATGGGGCCCCCTACTGACCCCGGGCCCTAGGGCAGCGCCCAAGTGTTCGAATGGTTAGTCCACCCCTGGTAATGATATGTTGTTGGGGAGGTCTATGTTAAAGTGAACCTGTTGCTTCACTCTGCACTTTTAAGTTCTCATATCTGTTGCATAGTTGCCAACATGTCAAAAACATTTTTAGGGACACTTTTTTTTATGGTATGTTAGAAAGCCAGCGTAGGCGGAGCGATATGTAAATTAGGGGTGGGGGCATCAATTGTGGGTCCGGCTTGGAGATAGCGTGCCACACCAAGAAGTGGGTGTGTCTTAAATTACTATGAATGTTGGGTGTGGCTTAAAGGGTGTGTGGTTAAATACAGTCTGAGATTTTCTTGGGCTCTTCCATGCAATTTTGCTCTTCACTCCTACAGCCCAAAAAAAAAAATAAACACACACATAGACTTATTGGAAAAAAAAAACAACTTTAATACTATAAACCTAAAGAACTGGTCCACTCTCAGTGATTGGTTGCTAGAGGTTACAGCACATTACCTCTCACTGATTGGTTGCTAGAGGTTACTGCCGTTAGTACAGGGGACAAAACCCCCCCCCCCCCCCCCCCCCCCCCGACACCCCCCCCCCACACCCCCCCCCCCCCCCCCCCCCCCCCCCCCCACGCTATGGGTATGGGTAAGGAGAATATTTGGTAATAATCTCTTCTCTATATTTCTAGTTATGTTAGGTAAAGCAGACCATAAGTGAAGAAAGATATTTTGACATTCCTTCTTCCTGTAAGAGTTATTTTGGTTCCCCTTCGTTTTGCTTCACTGGCAGTGTGTTCAGTGTTGGTGCAGAACTTAGTATTTTAACCACTTGTCTACCGGGCCTTTTTACCCCCTTCCTGCCCAGGCCAGTTTTCAGCGTTCAGCGCTGTCACAATTTGAATGACAATTGCACGGTCATGCAACATTGTACTCATATGAAATTTTTATAATTTTTTTTGAGACAGATAGAGCTTTCTTTTGGTGGTATTTAATCACTTCTGGGTTTTTTATTTTTTTGCTAAACAAACCAAAAACAATGGAAAATTTATGAGGCTGCAGTGATGGGCACTGATAGGAAGCACTGGTAGGTGGCACTGATGGGCATTGGCAGGCATCACTGATGGGCACTGAAAGGCAACACTCATATATGGCACTGATAGGTGGCACTGACTGGCACTGATAGGTGGCACTGAAAGAAAGATCAGATGGGCACTGATATGTGGCATTGATTTGCACTGGTAGGCACTGATATGTGGCATTGATGTGGCACTGATGGACACTGACAGGTGGCACTGATGGGGCTACACTGATCATCAGGGCACTGATGATCAGTGTACATGTCCCCTCTGAGGAATGCCGATTTCCGGCATTCCTCTCCTCATGAGCTGTCAGCGTGACAGCTTGTGAGGACAGGAATACCGATAACCGGCATTTCCTTATTTACATGCGATCAGCTGTGATTGGACACAGCTGGTCACATGACAGAGCCAACGTCATTGGCTTTTTCCGCTGATCGGTGATCCGCTGTGTCCCAGGGGCACGCACACGTGGATAGAGTGGGAGGACGTCATATGAACGTCCTCTTAGAAGGAGAGAACCGCTGCCTGTCCGTTTTCTTATGTCATTTCCTTATATGCGGGCGGGAGGGCGGTTAATATAAAGCTGGTCATACACTAGTAGATTTTCAAACAAGCTTTTTTGTGAGTATTCATGTGATTTTTTTTTTTTTTTTTATTATTATTATTGTACATTTAATGACTGGACAAATGTTGTTTGAAAGTACTTCAAAATTATGTTTGTTTTTAACATTCAATTTTGGATTGCAAGTCATTTCTGAATGAAACCACATGCACTGTTCGAAATGCATTCAATCAAGAAAAAAGTTTCCATCTTGCTCCTTTGAATTTTCTCACCGCTGTTGATAATGAATGTTGATTTGACCCCACTAATGATTAGAAAATTGAAGAAAGTACTGAAAACTGACCATTTCAAACAAATCTCTGCTAGTTTATAGCCAGGTTTACACACCTTACAGTGTATGCAAACTCGATCAATGCGTGTTATTTGCTTCATTTTAGTCTGTTTAATATACCATTAAAAATATTTTGTTACTTCTTTTCAGAAAGTGTAAAATATAAAACCAAAAAAAAAAAAAAACTTGTTGATTCTGCCACAAATTCCAGTAAATTGGTAAATTCCTGTGCTCTGAAATCCTAAAACCGTGTTTTGAGCTCTTACTAGTTCTTTTCTGTGGATTCAGAATGCCTCCACCTTTGTCAAGGATAGAGGGAGATGTTCTGCAGTTGTAAAACATTTCTGTCCTAGGGTGACAACACTGCTTTTCCATTGATACAGTATAATGAGTAAATATTGTGACCCTAGGACAGGACTTGCACAATGGTTACAAACCATGTCTATTCAAACTGAGTATGTGAATAAGTGACATCAGCATTTAAAAGGATCAGATTTGGAAATTTAGGCAAACCTCGACTTTTACCTATAAGATCTGGTTCACACAGATTTTATCAAGCGTACATGTGAGGGCTGTGTTTGCCCACATGGGGATGCATAGGTGTTCTGTTCATCCATTTGCAAGCAGTCCCGTTCATATCAGTTGGGACGCAACGGTTGCACGGGCAGAGCCGCTGCTCCCAATGTGACAAGCTGTGTGGGTATGGGTCCTGAACTTAGACAGGGTGTTCATGCAGCCACTGTGTCTCAGTTGATCTCAATGGGATTGCCTGCACAGGGTTATAAGGGATACCTGTGCATCCCTGTGTGAGGAAACCCAGCCCTCGCACAGGTATACACTTGGGTACGCCTGTGTGAACAAGGCCAAAAAAAGATGCATCTGACCCTGCCTTGTCCTTCCTTTCCTGTTGGTCCAACAAAGGATCTGCATGTCTGTCCATCCCATCCTGAGATATGCACAGCTCTGTCTGGCAGGACTGGAGACCTAATTTTTCTCTGTTGTGTTTTAGCAGTACCTACCGGTCTTGTCTCTCCCTCACCCTGTGACTGGACAGTGAAAAGAGAAGCAGCAGACTGATAAACTTAAAGCGGAACTAAACTGTGTCTGAAAACCACATACTGAAAATGCTATTTAATTCATTTTTAATATTCAAAGCAAACTCCCCCATCAATCCATGTCTCTGTGCTTTATTTTGATGAGAAAACACTTTGAAAAACCATCTAGTATTTCTAGCTACAGTCTTCTTAAGTAAGGGCAGATGATTCATGTTGCATTTACTTGAATTCATCTACTCTTGACTCAGGCATGCAGGCAGGAGGGTGTGCTTGGGTGAGAAAGTCACTCCCCCTCCTGAAGACGCTGGGGATGTATTTCAGCATTTTGGCCAAGGTCAGAAACCAGGAAGCAAATGAAGAAATGTAAAAAAAAAATAATAATATATCTTCCTATCTGTTTATAAGGACTAAAAATAGTTAATGCTAATTGAGTGATTGAGAGAGTTTAGTTTCGCTTTAACTGTGTCGCTCTGCTCTCTTTTCTTATTAGCTTGTTTTTTTTGGCACATAAACAATTTCTCAAAGCTGATTGGCTCCTTGAACTGCTTCTACCACTCCTAGTCTGAGCTCTGCTGTACACAGACTGTATGGCAGAGACCGATACCGAGCCAAAAGTACCTACACTGCTTGCACTTGGAAAACACATTTAATGATGATGTGTTAATGTTTACAGGGCTGCATTAGTTTTCCTTTTATATCTGCCTCAAGTTCAACCTTTAATATGCAACAAGAACCACCCAGGACTCCAGATTCTGTCTTTTCTTGCTTTCTGTGGAAGGTTTCGTTTCTTACCACACACAGTCATACAGGATCAGTGTGTACAGAAAGCCAATTCAGTCCAGGCACAGTCCTTTTGTGGTGTTTGCAGTGAAAGGTTTCTTTTGCTCCTTCCTTCTCCCTCTGCTTTTTGTCTGGAGTGTCATTTGCAATTCATTGTCTCTGTTTTCTGAGCGGGGTGTATTCAGCTGCTGTGACCCCGGGTCTTGCGCATTTAGCTCCCTGGATACAATGCACTGACGTTACCGCTGCTGATGGTTGGGATACAAAGGCTGCTAGATATCTTCAGCAATAAAAAAGGCCTTTGTTTCTGCACATTATTACTAAACACCTGACTAAAGAATAAGGAAGCTGATAATGTAATATGTAACAGTCAATAGATGATTGTGGTGGGCCTTGTGTAACCACTTCTACACCGCTGTATAGCAGAAATACTGCTACAGGGTGGCATGGATGCGCAAAATCACGTGTGTGTGTGTATATGTATTGTGTGGGTGTGTATTTGTGTGTGTGTGTGTATATATATACTTATGTGTGTGTGTGTGTGTATATATATATGTGTGTGTATTTGTGTGTGCGTGTGTGTGTGTGTGTGTGTGTGTGTAATATATCATGTATGTGTGTGTGTGTATATATATATATATATATATATATATATATATATGTGTGTGTGTGTGTGTATGTGTGTGTGATTCGCTCTCCCATGGTAATCGCGGGCTTGGAGCATGCATGCGAGCCGACCCGCTGGTGCCCTGATTCGGTGTCCAAGAGCACAATCGTCCAATTTAGGCCAGTGATGTTCGGCCTGAAACAGATGATCAATCCCTGTCCTGTACCTGTGTTTACATTTACACAGGTACAGTAAATTATGAAATCTGCTCTCTCCGGGTACGTTCCGTCCCAGAGAGAGAGAAGAAAGCAGACACGTGAGTAAAACAGCACACTTACACAGTTAGAACACTTTTTAGGACACATTTAACCCCCTGATCGCCCCTTAGTTAACTCCCTCACTGCCCAGTGTACAGATTTTTTGCTGATCACTGTATTAGTGTCACCGGTGTTTTCAGATAGCATTAGCAGTTCCTGACAGCCAGGTGCTATTTTTTTCCTGTGAGTCACACTAGGTACCTTTAAATTTAGTGAATGCACTGCAAGAGATAAACAAACGAAACCAGCACTCCAATCTTCATGCAAACCAAGGAATTGCCAACATGCCAACCGAAGAGGTGCTGCCCTTCTGAGATCGGGAAATCTGACCACTGGTGAATAAAAACAAACAAGGGGCACTCTCATCGTGCATTACCGTGGTATAACACGTAATTTATTAAATAAAAAAGGATGTATACTCACAAACCAACGTGATTATAGGCAGTATAGGTGATCCACAAAAACAGTCACAATGCAACTCTGTCTAATGATGCGGATTATCTGACACGTTTCGGGAGCTGAACCCCCTTCCTCAGAGCTGAGCTCAGGGCTGTCATATGACGTCCTTCCATTTTCACCGCGCATGCGCGCGGCTCAGGGAGCGCGCGGCGATCGCCGGTGCGCTGTGTCCCTCGGACACAGCGGATTGCGGATCATGGAAAGAGCCGAAGATGGCAGCTTGGTCATGTAATCAGCTGTGTCCAATCACAGCTGATCTCATGTAAACACGGAAATGCCGGTTATCGGCATTTCTCTCCTCTCGAGCTGTAACGCTGACAGCTCGAGAGGAGAGCCGGTAATCGGCTTTCTGCGGAGGGGACATGTACACTGGTCATCAGGGCACTGATGATCAGTGTGCCCTGATGATCAGTGTGGCCCCAGAAGTGCCACCTGTCAGTGTCCATCAGTGCCAGCAGTCAGTGCTCAGCAGTGCCACATCAATGCCACATATCAGTGCCCATCTGAGCTGCCTTTCAGTGTCACCCATCAGTGCCAGTCAATGCCAATCAGTGTCACCTATCAGTGCTGCCAATCAGTGCCACCTATCAGTGCTGCCTAACAGTGCCATATATCAGTGTCATGTATCAGTGCTGCCTTTCAGTGCCCATCAGTGATGCCTGTCAATGCCCATCAGTGCAACCTACCAGTGCCTCCTCAGTGCCCATCAGTGCCACCTATCAGTGCCCATCACTGCAGCCTCATTAGCGCACATCAGTGAAGGAGAAAAATCACTTGTTTACAAAATTTTATAACAGAGACTAAGAAAAAAATTGTCTTTTTTCAAAATTTTCAGTGGTTTTTGGGTTTAAGAAAAAATTAAAATCCCAGAGGTGATTAAATACCACCAAAAGAAAGCTCTCTATCTGTCTCAAAAAAATGTATAAAAATTTCATATGGGTACAGTGTTGCATGACCGCGCAATTGTCATTCAAAGTGTGACAGCGCTGAAAGCTGGAAATTGGCCTGGGCAGGAAGGGGGTATAAGTGCCCTGTAGGCTAGTGGTTAAACCCTATGTATAATAAAGAGTTGCCATACCTTTTTCTTCACGCTTTGTTGTATTTCAATACTGCTGATCGCCTGCAGCCATTTTCTGTCTCCATGCATGTACTTCAGCAATGACTGTGTTGACCGTCTCCTGTTGTGACAACGGTGGGCAATGCTTGGATAATGTATGTTGAAAAAAACACTTTACTTTTGAC